TGTGCGTGAATGGCTCATTGCTGATTTTTGTCTTGCTAAGTTAGATACCCTGCAGAGATGCAAGCCTATACTACTTGAAAATGCAACTGTTTGGCTTGATTAAAAAAAATAGCTTCATGGAAGCCATCCTTAAAACAGCACCCAACAGATAAGGAAGTAGAAAAAGCCCATATAATAAGAAGTACTCAGTACAAAAAACCAGATCATTTCCCATAAAAAAATACTGTAGTTTAAACCAGAATGGATTCTATCATCATAGAGAGACTCAGCAACCACTTTCCATTATATTCATGACATATTTTTAAAAAACATTAACCAATGTTAAATGTTAGTGATTAAGGAAAAGGTATCCTATTTAAAAATGACAAGAACCAAAGCTCCAGGCAGATAAACCCTGGGTAGTTCACAACTTGAAGCAGAGACTGGTGATGGAGGACACAGAACAGTGCCCACACAAGTCATGCCATAAACTGGAGCACGACAATAAACCAATGTCATACACTCCTAATGCATGATTTTCACAAATAGACACTGACACAGTGGTGGGGTCAGCAAAGCACAGCACAGGAACAAACGCCTGGAGAAAGTAAAGAAATGCTTTTGAAATCTGCTTCTTGGGTAAGGGCAACACACCACATTGCTGAAGCCTGAGGTTAGGAGGCCAAGTATAGCCAGTTCTGTGCTTGAAGACTTGGACTGCACCCTCCTTTGGGGATTGCTGCAGGTCAGGTAGGGTACAGAGGACAGGCAAAAGCATGAAGCTCACAGAAAGCAGGGATACAAATGAGAGAGCCCAGGAGAGAGAAGCGGCCAGGAACGGAAAGAGGAAACGGGCTGATGAGGGAAGGCTGACACGGAAAATGGAGCTCAGATAAAGAAGGTGGGAAAAACAGAGCTAAACAAAGACAAAGGAAAAAGTATAATTTAAGCCATTTTGTAAATGTGTAACAAAGCAAAACCTTCCTTTGAAAACCAAAAGAAACTAGGATAAAAAAAAATCAGTTCAGTTCTCTGCAGGCATTCACTATAAATTCACAGAATGCAAATATATTCCCATGCTTAGTGTGCAATCAATGATTTCCTCTGCAATATTTAATCTCATTTATCAAGCTTCTTAGTACAAATTAAGTTACAAGGTAATCAATTAGATTGAAAACACAGCTTGTTTCATTGTTTTAATTTTGCACCGTAAGCATATTCACCCTAATTTAACAATTAGCTAATGAAAAACCATGAAGTGTTTATGTTGCTTGGCTTTTTATCATTCAAATTCCTCTCCTGAATCATTGCAAACACATCACCCAGTGGAGTCCCAGCTACAACTTTAAAAGCCTGGCAGAAAATGCACATGGGAAAGGAGAAGGGGAACATGTAGGAACCAGTGTGGTGGTGGTGTTTGAAAAAGGGAAGGAGGACTCAGGAAACTGCAGCTCTTTTCCAGAATCATGGCAAACTGCCTAAGGGACTGCAGCCTGTTTTCTCCTGGGACACTTTCTAGGTGGACTACTGCAGAAGGCACTGCTTTACAAGGTTAGAGCAGCATGGATGAGCTGCTTTTGTACCCAGAGGAAGTTGCAGCTGCTCTCTGTAGATTCAGAAGGTTTTCCCATGACATGGGAGATGCACCGAAGGCAACGAGTGCAGGGGGATCCCTCAAGGGGGACACTGCTTCCTGATGGGTAAGAAGACAGAACTGGGGGGTGCTGTGGTTTTGTGGGTTTTTTGATTGCTGTTAGCTGTGATTAATTGCTCTTTTCTTTACAGAAAATAGTGTTTCTTTTAATTTATAGAAATAATTCAGATACAGCAGTTATCCTATTTTGCTTAAGTTTATGTCTGCATATTCTGCAGTTACTGTCTTTCTATGTTCTCGCAGTTTTGATCAAAAAAACAATTAGGGAAACTATACCTGTGAGCCTCCAGTTTTATGGAGGTGAGGGTTTGAGGTGTTTTTTTTTTTGTTTGTTTGTGGTTTGGTTTTGTGGGGTTTTACTCACTTGTTTTAAACTTTTCATTTCTTTTCAGTAAATTGAAGTTTGAGATTATGTTTAGTGAAGCTCTTGCTTAACTGAGCAAGTCCACATTTCCTGACCACCCCAGGGGAAGAGGTGAAGACCAGCCCTAATGATACCAAGCATGCATGTGCAGTCTGCATGCTGGTAAGAGTAGGAGCAAATGTAAGCGGATTTGTTCAACTGACCTAAAAATGACCAAGCAGGTGAGAGAAAGCAGCAAGCAGTGTGATGATGGCTGAGGCCAGAGGAGCACTAGTTCACCCCCTCCACTAGTGTCTTAAAGGACACCCTGAGGGGAAGCTGGAGAATGACAGAAATGGGACAAAGCGTGCTGCTGAGCTGTAGGCTGACAGGTCAGAAACATTATCAGACTTCACTTGTATGACAGACTCTGGTGTTTTAACACACATGATAATGTGATCAACATTCACTTCCAGCTGCGTTTAGGTGGAAGCAATCCCACATGACTGCCAGCCCTTCCTCTCTCCCCAAGCCCTGTTCTCCATGCCTAGCAAACAAGAGCCAGACACCTCCTCTCCCAAACACTGATTTCTGCCTGTCTAGGCAATGCAGTTTTCTGGGATCACATACAGGATCTAGGACTAAAACTATGTGTTTATTCTTTGCATTATATTTCTGATTTGGATATACATACAACAGCCCAGGAACTGTCAGTGCTCTGCCTGGTTACAGGAAGGAAATAGCTTGATTACATTATGACCTCTAGTTACATATTTGTTAGCTTATCTGCCTAGAAAGAAAAGCAAGAAACATCTGATTACAGGCCAGTGAGGACAGGTTTTCATTAAAACAGCTTTGAATTGGTTTATTCTACTGTCCAGCAACAACTGACTGTAAATGTGAATGATTTTTCTTTGCCTTTTTTTCTTCCCCCCCCCCCATACAAATACACTTACAACATCCAGGACAAAATTTGCTAAGTATACAAAAATAATTCTCATCTACACAACAATATCCTTTGCATTAACTTTATGAAACACACAATTAGCTACATCTGAAGTGCCTGGGAATGTAGCTGAAATGTTCTCTTCTCCCATCCCCATGTGCAAAGACCCAGTCCCATATGTAAGTATAAGATATCTCCAAGAAACATACACTTGGAAAATCAAATTAAAGTAATGCCATACTTCAACTGATTTTGTGGTCATAAGAATTAAGCTGTATTTGCAAAGAGCATGAAAAGGCTATCTATTTTCTATGTGGGTGTAAATTCATCAGAATTATATATCCTGAATGAGAGAGAATGAGTCCTCTCAGCTGCTCACATAGAAAGGCAGGAAGCAGAAAGATAGAAACAGATGGTCTTGAGATTTTCCAATTACAAACCTTTTTGGCAATATATAACTGGAGGAATTCCAAACATTTGTCACTTTGACATTGCTTTGAGGTAAGTAATAGGATTTTGGTACTTACAAATTCTGAAACATGCTGCAATTTGAAGACTAAAATCAGCTATCTAAATCAAAATCATTACTCAAGGAGTTAAAGTCACATTTTAGAACAGGCACCAATATAAGAGAAGCATCTCAAAAGGCATAAGGAAAACTATTTTTAATTTGATGCTTATTCATAGATTCACTAAGAATCTGCAATAGAGCCAGAAGATATAAGCCACTCTTGAGCAGGCTGGGCACGCTTACACTGTTGCTGACACTGTAAAACTGAAACCCACCATAAGGATAAGAGGCAGACTGCTAAACACAGCATCCCACAAGATGAAGAAATCCTCCATTCCTCAAGGGAGCATTACCCCTAAACTTCTGTCTCGGTTGCAAACAAAGGAACTTGGAAATCTGCATCCCTCCCTTCGGTTGCTCAGTGGGTATTTTTAATTTCTGTTAAAGAACTGCAGTCCTTTAAACCCTGAATGCTTGAGGATATCTTCTTTTATCATTTGCAAGTGTTATTCCTAGTATGTTATAAAAAAAGAATTAGCTAGCACTGGGGTGCACAAAAGGTGTATAAATAGAACTGAGTGGGCACCTCCTACAGGAGCTCAGAGCAGTGTGTGTGTGTGTGTGTGTGCATGCACATGTCTAATACAAGAGCTAGGTTTAACACTCGGACAGTCATAGCTATCGGAGCTCTCAGATTTATCTGTGACCTACCACAGAAACTGGGAGTGGGGGCTTGAGCTAATAATTTCATGAAGTAGTAATCATAGATGCACAAATCTACCATTTTTGAAGGGGGGAAAAACCCCCTCATTCCTGGGTTTTGAGGGAAAACAGAAAAGGAAAAAAGTAACTTACAGCACTCCCTTTATACTACAGCTGTATAAATGTAAAGTATGTCAGTACTCCAGGTTCTCATTTTACATTAGGTAAATTAACTATGTAATGATTGATTCCACATCTTGATTCCAATGCTTGATTCCACATCTACAGGTACCCCTGCCTTCATATTAAAGAGCGCTACAGAACCTTATCAGACTCAGACAAGAAACCCACGTAGAGAACCACATACTTTCCCACCCTCACAAAGTTATTCTTCCTGGTTATTCCAATGTGGAAACTGAAAGAAAGCTATAAAAATCTTCGGGTCACTTAGTAACAGCTAAAGAAAAAAGAGAAACAGAGTGGGTATTAATTTAATTCTGTAGGATGGTGTGGAGGTTTCAATATCAAAATTTCTGTCAGAATCTAAAACCAGCAAAGAAGTGAATTTTAAATTTACTCTGACAATGATAAAACTAACAGTATGTATGAGAAGACACGGTACTTAACACTCAGTAGAAAACAGAACTGAGAAATCTTCCCAAAACCAGAGCTAAAGCTTTCTAACATAACCCAAACCATGGCTATAACTTCAATAATTGCAGCCCATACAAACAGAAATGGAAGGAGTTACTAGTAGTTCATTGGACTGGTCAAAGCCATTCAAAATCAGAACTTCTGTCCATTGATGTGAATCTTTTATATGAGAAACTTGCTTTCACATCCAGAAAATAAAACCTGTGCTTACTTGTTATTGGTGGGTCCTGTTGCCAAGACATCTGATTGCAACTTTGGGAAAAATCCTTGTTCGTATTTCCCTTGGCCAATCTTCATATCAAGTAAGTGTGGGTGGATAGCCGTGTGATCGATCTTCATCAGCCGCTGCTCGATAGACTGAGCTGCAAGTTACAGTCACAGGTGAACAACTGCATTAGCGAACCACCTGAAGACACATGCTATGACAACAGAAGCGGTCATGCTCTGATCCCTGAAAACGCTCTATAAGAGTTAAATAGTGACTTCAAACCCAGAATTCTGTCACTTACAGAAGTGAGGGAGCATCTGCGCTGTTATGTTGTTATTTAGCTTTTAGTTTCTTCACCCAACACAAGTAGGACTAGCACAAGCAAGTTAGCTGTTAAACGAGCAAGGATTCACAGGAGCCTACGAGATGCGTTATGAACTGGCAAGAGCAGTCCAATCTTTCACTGCAATTCACTATTTAGTTTTAACACTCCTTCAGCAGAATTGAGACCTCTAAGGCTGGTTGCAAGTCTCTATGGGATCAGGCACCTTGCTCTGCCCCAGACATTGCACAGGAGGCAATACCCGAGTTTTACAAACATCTGGCACTTATCATGATCCTCTTTCCAAAATTAGATATCCCACTACTGGATGACAGGCCTTCAAAAAGCATAGCTAACTGTAATAAGGCTTGAGCAGCATCAAGAAGATGAACAGATGCTTGGAAAGAGGGGAGGAAACTATGGCAAGATTGGAGAGGAATTTCAGCTCTGTTGAGACTCATGTAGTTCAGTCATTTGCTTTAAGAACATGAGGATTTCATCTCAAATCTCAAGCATGGTGAAATCTGTCACCCTCTCAACATTGAGTCAGATGCACTGTGAAGGAAAGGGGAAAGGAGGTGTATGGGGAAAATCAGCATTTAATTAGCAACTTTAATATTCATCTCTCTATAGCCCATCCATTAACAGGCAGGCCTGTCCTTTTCAGCATATCGCAACTACTGAATATGCAGAATGTGGAAGCTAAATCCATTTTCCATTTGTCAGGAACAACACAGAACTCATTTCCTTTTTTATAAAACTGTGATGGGAAAGAAACTGTCAGGAGATTTACATACATTACCCTTGGAAACTCAGCAACATTTTTTCCCCCACTAAAATAATAAATAAATAATCCCTTCATGAGGTTTTCTTTTGGAAAAAAGGGCTGGGTAGTGTGGGGTTAGAGGGTTTGAAGAGTTCTGAAAATAGGAAGTTAAACAAACAGGTGCTGGATCGGTGCTCGGGTCACATATATTCTGAATGGGAAATAGGAAGGAAAGTTGGCATTACTATCTGTTTGCTGCGTTTCACAAGACAGAAAATGAGGTTCCGGTGCCACAATATCTACCAAAACTAGACGCTGAATAGACAGTCGACCTGCAAATTAGAATTGGTTTTAGATAGTTAAGTAGACACAGGATTTCTATTTCTGACACATTTGTACCAAGTAAAATGCTCGGAAGGAATTATACAAAAAATCCCCATGGGAAGTGTGTGTTTACCCCAGTTCATTAATGTGTGTCCCAACAAATTTAAGACCATAATTTCCCTGTATTACTTGGAAATGAAATAAATACTTGCACAGTAAGAAACTCAAGTGTAATTTGAAAATGCATCTTGTGACTGTAATAGAAAAAAACCCTAAGTCTTAGTGTACAGCATACTATTCATTAACATGATAGCTGAAGCTACCAGATATGCCACACAGGATTATGTCCCCAGCATCCCCTGCTGCTCTATCCAAATGGCATAAGGCAAAAGAAGGTCTTTTTACAGGAAGGGGCAGATGAGGCCAGTGGAGCAGACACCGGGGTTCCTCGGTGCCACTGGTGCTGGTCCCACCACCATGGTGAAGGAAAGTTCTCCTGGCAATGGAACAGAAGCTGCCTAAAATGAGAAACGGCGAGCCCAGCTCCATGGTTTGGCTTGTGTTTATTAAAGGCACCAGCCCAGCAGAGCTCGAAGGGAATGTAGAGGCTCTCACTCTTTTGAGGGTTTAAAAGCATAATGATGTTTTTGCCTAGGGAAAATAAGGACACTGCTGAGTCATCCTCAGGTAGCTTTAGGGCTTCCTCGCTGGCTGCAATGCTCAGATAACTAAGGACCTATATTTCTTTGTGGCTGACACTGTACTTCTGAATATTTTACTAGCCTGTCTGAACATACCTGCTTCTTTCAAAGTGCTGCATTTCTGATAGTTGGATGTCCGCAGTGCAGGGGCCCTTACATTATACAGCTTTATTTTCTCAATTCGGGAATCAAAAACTCGCAGAAAAGGGTCCTTCTCTTCCCACTGGGAGATTATCTTATTGTCTATGAAGGTTGCAAACATCTGTGTTTCGATGAAGTGTGAAAGGAATGGGAGGTAAGGCTCAGGTTGGTCCGAAAGGAAGGAAGCCTGAAATACAGAACAGCTCATTAGTGCCATATTCCCACCTGCCATTGAGATGACAAGCTGTCCTGCAGCAGAGAACTGACCCAGCAGCCAACGGGAAGGCTTGGACAAGGCTTCCCCACCACAGAAACCCCTCTCAGAATTGTGAATCCATCTGCAAAGCGGTTTGGTTCACGGGTCACCTCTTCAATCACAACTGTGAGAAATAAGTAGTTGTGGAAACTTTGTGACAGGTAGACTGTCACAAACGAAATATGGAGTTATTGAAGTGTAACTCCAGCTTTTTCAAAGCAGCCTAGCAGCTACCACCTGCAGGAACAAGCCCTGTGCAACCCATGGCAGACCACCACCAGATGAGCCCACTTGGGACCTCTGGTTTGGCATCCCTGCCTGGGACCAAATCACTTAAGTACGTATCAATTGGCACACAGTGCACAACAGCTAATTCTCTCTTGTAAAGTCATTCAGGGAAATCAATCACGAATTTCCAATAAAAACTGAGTGTGTGCCCAAGTCTGTAACTGAGCTTTGAAAACTCTAACCTTAATAGCCCATTTTATTGCAGAAGTATCAGCAGAGATTGCCTAAATAACACTTGCCTTATGAATGCTGCACCATTCAATGCCTGAATACAAACAAGATCAATAAAAAGCATGTCAGCATTTTTCTGATCAAAAGCTGACTCAAATCAGTATTTAGTCTGTTCCTGCCTCTTTAGCCTTCTACCATTCTCCTTAGAGAAGGACTTGTGTCTGAAAAAGCTGATGGCTAGGAGAGCTAACTACTTTGCAAGGTCACTCAGAAATAACTGTGTAAGCTTCCCAAGATTTCTCATTCCTTTTGCTAGCCTACAGTCTCTTTATTTCCCCATTTGTAATCTCAGCTTTCTTTTCACTCTAGTGTACACACTAAGGTAGGGTCGTAACAGTACTCTTCTGCCATAGGGATGTGATAACCTTCTACAGAGCAACACTACCCATTAAAAAAAAGCTGTACTGTGAGATTAGGAGACAAGGACTGGATTTGGTTTTTGCCTTGTGTGTGCACCTCTCTTCTCACCAAACAAAAAAAGAAAGAAATTAAAAAAAGTCCATTTCCATTGCTACCCTTTCCACCAAACCCACAGAGGAAGCCCCATCAGCTGGGCAGAAACCTGCCAGCCTGGTTCATACAAGCCAGGACAGCTCTGACCAGCTCAGTGAATCTGCACCAATTCACTTTGGCAGACAATCTGGCCCTGTGTAATCAAACCAGATAAATCTCTCAGTGAGGCAGATGAAGAACAGGGAATTAAAGAGTACCTAGGCTATATACACACATTACATAGCTGTTCTCCCTCCCTCCCTCCCTCCCAAAAGCACTTTCAGATGGAAAAATGAATACATGGCTATCTTTACTTTGTCAAAGTTTTGCATTTGTTCCCTGTTTGTCAGCCACGACTCCATATCGGGGGCAGCCTGAATGACGAAAGCCTCATAGTCTGCGAACATCTGCGTGAAGCGGTTGGCGAACACCTCGCGAAGCTGCACGTTCAGTTTGTAGTCCCTCAACTCCACCTCCTCACAGGGCAACTTCCCATCCTTCTCCTTCTCTGCAAGGGGAGCCGTGATGGTCATTTTTTCCATTGTCACACCAGTTCTTTTGGCCAGGGCCTGCAGGCGGGCAATCGTCTCATTGCCCTTCAGCAGCTCGTACATGTTGAGGGCGTTGCTGGGGATGTTCCCGTTCTTTTTGTCGTTCACCAGGTCACTAAGGACCAGGTTCTTGAGTTTGGTGGCGCTGTCGCTGCAGTGCAGGTTACCCTCCGGCGGGATGCCAAACTGCAGGAGAACCTCGGAGATTTCCTGGATGAACTCCAACTTGTTGGGGAACTGGGGGAATTCCTCTGGCAGCTCGATGAAATGGTTATCGATGTCCACAAAGCACAGGTTTGCCTGAAATACAGATAAAAGTTTCAAAATGGATGCTCAGCATAGAATTGTCTTCCTCCTGGCAGTGTTCAAGGACAGGGTGGATGGGGCTTTAAGCAACCTGGTCTAGTGGAAGGTGTCCTTGCCAATGGCAGGAAGGCTGGAACTCGGTGAGATTTAAGGTCCCTTCCAACCCAAACCATTCTATGATTCTCTAATAAATAGCCCTGTTTTCCTAAGGTAAGAGCTTTCAGCAGAAAGCCAAGAACACACATATGCAGGAGACTTTAGCTGTGTTGTCTAGCCTATGACGCTTCAGTAAAGCTGAAGACTGAATAAATAAAGCGTCCTGCCCTCTCCTGCTCCCTCAGGACTTGCAGATTCCAAACTTCCCACTGCAAAGATTTGATATCCCCTTCCAGACTGGCCAAGGACACACCAGCGAGCACAATGTGCAGTGCCATTTCTCAGCACATGTAAAAACTATCTGTGTTGAATTATCACATCTCAAGGACATGTTTATTTTACCAGGACCCAACTGCAAGAGGATTCTGTAGCTGTGCTACCAAGGAACGAGATGCTCAGTGAGAAAGATGACATTGCTACAAGCGAAGCTACAAAATAAGGGTACCATGCAAATCCTTTGGGATCATGTCTGAGTATAGCTTGTTCACTGGAGGTCAAGCCCCATTTCCCCGCTCCCCTTATTCCCTGTTTCCATGAAGGCTTTTAATCTTGGCAATTCCTCTGCCTGAGATTTAAACACAGTGCTCTTAGACAGCTTTGCTACGAATGGAGATGGATCTCAGCCCATAAGATTAAAGCTAAGTGAAGACATTAATCTAGCGGAGCAGATACTTTTTGCTAGGGAAGTGTCAATGGGGGGATGGAAGAGCCCTACATAAAAATTAATTACATTGCAAATGCACCCTCAGGAATAACAGCAGAATGAAAAACAGTAATCGATCTCCTGGACTGCAGCTTATTTCTGAAATTCACTGTCTGAGTGCACTGTGCTGAATAAATCTTAAACCAGGTCAGATTCCCAAGGTGCTGAGCTCTGATGGGTTTTACCCTGGCACAAAGCTGCAGAACGGGAGATGCAGAAACCCACAGGGCAGGGGCAGCAGCAGATCTCTGTTATGCCTTACTTGGCCATTAGCTCAGCTCCTCTGCCTGCTCCAAAGTGCTTGTGCTGTTCTTGACTTCTCACCAAAGACTGTAGACTAATCTTCAGATTATGTGAACAGAAAGGACTTATTTTCCTCCTTCTGAAAAGGTTAATTTTCAGCAGGACAATACATTCCACAGAAAACATGGTTATAAAATACTGGATACTTTAGGGACATGTTTGACATTAAACACCTTTCGCATAGATACTTTGAAGTGTATTAGCATTAATTTGGTAAAGCAAAGTGTCCCTTCAGATCGCTTTTTCATAATAAATCTGGATTGTACAAAGAAAAGCGTATCTTCATCCAAAACAATTTGCTTTACTTAGCTATACAGCTTTGAAGAGTTGTGGTATGCATCGGTGCGGTTCCTTAGCTCAGGGACTGTCTTCTTATCTATCAATATTTCATTTCAAAGGCTTTTTAATTTCAGCTCTGCATATAATTTACGAAATTTGAAAAATGAGATTTGGATTCAGAAAACCCTCAGGGAATTGGTCTCACTTCTCTCTTCAGAAACATCCGATGATTAAAATTAATGAAGGCAGATTAGTAACCTTAAAACAGCATGATGGCCAGTTGTTAGAATTTTTATCTCTAACAAACAAATGGTTTATATTTAGAGCAAGAGCTTGAAAAGCTAGCCCCTGGCCTGAACAATAAAGGAATGCTAAAGCAAACAGCACTTCATCACTGCTTGCATGTCGAAGGATTTTCTATTTTTTTTTATTATCTAGAGGAATTTAAGATCCAAGGTCTTGCCTGTTCAATTCCCCTTCTTTCTTTCCCTCTCCCAGTTACTGGACTTGTGGTGTTCATAAATGCTAATATTTTTCATACATCAATATTTGTTATATATCATGGTGGGGGGTGTGTGTGTTTCCACCCCACTATTACTCTTCCCTCACTGGCAATATCTAATTTGTTATTCCAGCAGTACTTCAAGCCCATCATATTAGAACTTTAATTTAAGCAAAATGACAGCTTAATCTGCTAACTAAAACACATGACTAATAATTTTTAAAATCACAGTAATTATGTAATATTAGCATGGTTTTACTGAAAAGCGTAGCTAGATACCAGCTTCTTTTCCACACCAATGCAAATTTCATGCAATTGGGTCATTGTATCCATGAGGCAAGACTTGATTTGCACTGTTACATGCCACTGATCCTAACAATCAGGCACCCCCACTTAATACTTAAAATAGACCTTTATTAACAACTGTATTATCCTTGCCCTGTGTTTATCCCTCCAGTTCCACATACAAACTCCCCCTCCAGCATATTCTCCCCTGCTGCTGCTCTCAATCTGCCTCCTCAGTCAGGGCACCTACCTGCAAGCCTTAGGGACCCTGCCCCAAGGAAAGATCTGTGCATGAAGCTGAGCACAGCACTAGCACCGCCACGAGATGTCACAGCCATGCAAGCCCAAGTTAAAATGCATAGCATGGTCTAGAGATGGGTCCAGTCACTATCTCAAATGCAGACAGGCTAGCCATATTGCAAAGACTTTGCACTATGGAGAGTGATCAGTGGCCAGGTTAAAATGTGAAGCGGTTTTAATCATCTTGGTGAAATTTTGAGGAGAAGGATCTCCATTTCCCTCTACCACCAGTGATCTGAACACCTAGATTAGGAGGACAACCTTTCCATCCTTTTTAACTCTGTGGAAAAAGTGATAGACCAGGCAAAGTTTTCACTTCCCACTGCATGGGAGGACAGAAGATCTTCAAAAGACCACCCTTGGATTGAGTCAGTATTACAGAAGTAGGTATGCATGTATGCCTATAGGTGGTTCACAGGCATGGAATTAATGCAGATCTGGCTTGTTTGTAATGAACCTCAACCCAGCCAGGAACTTGTGTGCTCATGCAAGGGTGGGACGAGGCTGGCAGGACAGGGTGATACTTCTCATCAGCAACAGGGGGACAGGTTTATGCCATTGGACTCTTCATTAGGGACTGTAGTGACAGGACAAGGGGTAACGGGTTCAAACTTAAACAGGGGAAGTTTAGATTGGGTATAAGGAAGAAATTCTTTTTTGTTAGGGTGGTGAGGCACTGGAATGGGTTGCCCAGGGAGGTTGTAAATGCTCCATCCCTGGCAGTGTTCAAGGCCAGGCTGGCCGAAGCCTTGGGTGGCATGGTTTGGTGTAAGGTGTCCCTGCCCATGGCAGGAGGGTTGAAACTAGATGATCTTAAGGTCCTTTCCAACCCTAACTATTCTATGATTCTATGATCTAGCAACTGCACCTGAGATCCAGATTCATGAAGACCATCCCTGAATGAAAGGCTCTGTAGCCCACTGTCAACAGGACTTTGACAGTGACAAAGAGCAACAAAACCTGATGAAGCATGCGATCTAGGGAAAACATAGAAACTTTCAGTGTCATAATAAGAAGCAGGAGAACATTCAAAAGTCAGTATACTTAGTGGTACTCATTAAATTCAGGAATGCACTGAGAAGGGCCGTGGAGACTTCCCCTACTGTCTCGCTCCGGCTGGCAAACAGCCTTCACAGTGCCAGAGAAGGTTCCTAAGACCAGGCATGGCATTTTCCAGCAGGCATACATGCAGATATTAACAATGCATTCCAAGATTGCATCCCCAAAGGTGGAGACTGACCTCCTGAGGCAGCTCCAGCTTGGAGCGGTCGGTTCCCTCCTTGGACTGCAGCCCCATCAGATAGGGAACAGGAGCGTCCAGAAAATGCAGGAGAGAGGCAGGAAGGATGGGGACATACACGTGCTGCCACTGAAACGGGAACAACAGCGTTGTGATCCCCTCTGCCACCGTCATCAGCCGCTGATAATCTAGACAGGGAGGGAGAGAGGGAAAGACAGACATTGAGTTATCTTTGTGTTTCACTTTTGAAATCAGCTTGGCAAGGACATCAGTGAGAAAACAAAACAGAAACCATGTTTATGTGGTAAGATGTGTGAAAATAAGACAGTACTTAAAACCCTTACACACTATTTGTCAAAACTCATTACCCCCGGGAAGAAACTGCTGAGCATAAATATTCATATCTTATCTGGATCTATTATGTCATTAGATTCATTTATTAAAAGCATACCAAAAGTTCTCACTATAGTACAGGATAATAATACTCTAATTCTATAAAAAGCATGTATTTTTATAAGGAAAAGAGAGAAGAAAGAAGTGAACTTGAAGGAAACATTGTGGTTTCTCTCTTGCTCCTGTCTGCCTGCTTCTGCTCCACTTGCTACTACTAAGTTTCAGATTTGCCTTGGCCACATACCAGCAGAAGTTTACAGTCCCTAAGTATTTAAAAGCACCGCTTGTAAATAAAACCCAAACAGAAGCCTAGCAGAAATTTAGTTGTCAAAAATATTCTGTATAGCTACCATATTTACACTGTATTGTTTCCCCAAATCTGTATTTAATCCACTAGTTCACTGCTTTGCAATGTTTGGCTCAAATAAACATTTCATGCTTTACTTTTTAAATTAAAACTTAATTTGATCCAGCTGAGCTGCAAGAATATTTGGATATGAGTAAATTATTTTCCAACTACCCAGCTGGCATGATGCAATACCACAACCTGTTTGTTAATATGAGGGAATCTAGATTTGAGAGCACTTTGGGTTTTGTTTCTCTGTTTTCCTTTAAATAAATAAATAAATCACATGTTGGTATTAAAGAGAAGGGCATCTTTACAGTGAATAGTAAACTGCAGGCAATCCATCAGGAAACACGTAAAGGGCCCTGGCTCTTGTAAGCTGCAGGTGAATCTGAAACCAGATGATTTTCTTACTCCCCATTACAGCAGCTTCTGCCTTAATAACACCCCCCCCCCCCAAATTTCTAAGAACATGGAGGTACTTAAACCCCAATTCCTTAAGAATCTTAACTTGCCATGAAGCAGCAGCACACCTCATTTAACAGTGTTGGTTAAAGATAGGAACACCAAAGCATAAGTTTGTGTAAGTGTCCTTGAACTTACACAAGGTGCATGGCACAGAGAAGACCGGGTGTCAGTTCCAATTCCTGTCCTGGGTCTCTGCTACCTGTGAAAGCTTCTTTTTACTATTTGCAGCTCCAGTGCACGGTACACCATCAGTAACCACCAAAAGCAGCAGAAGGGATGTCTCTTCTATGGCTGCATCCTAAACCAGTTCTCAAGTTCTCGTCAGTGCCCGGCAAGTCTCATTGAGCAAAGGGTTTTTTACTCTCACCAAGCCCAGACCCGGATCCTTGGTAATGGTTGGGTTGTTGCCCATCTCTTCTAGCCCCTCTGCCTCACTCCATAAAATTAAAGGTATATGTATGAACCTGGTCTTGAGTCTGCTAAGGCTGCTTTTTTCCTATAGCCCCGCTGTCTGCTTTTGCCTGCATAGGAACCCAGCCTGGCCCTTTCCATTTCCTGAACAAGCCAGCCTGATGCCCTGGCAGACATCCGCAACAGTACTGCCATCTGACATAGCTCAGCTATTAGGAGGTCACTGGCAAGATGAACTTGAATAAATATGCAAATTAAAACAACAAATTGCATAACCCATTCTCCTTCCTCGTAGCACCTCTTTGTGGAAAACCAGCCTCGATCTGCGGAGGTCAGCCAGGTGGGCAAAACCATTTTTCATCTTGTCTTACTAATAGCTAGTCACTCAATCTTCAAAATGATTTTCATGCGCACAAGTCAGTCTCAAGGTTACACCTCAAAGCCATTCCCAACTACAGATCAGCCATTTATGAATCCCTCCTTGTGCAATGGTCTATAATTACACAGGTCCATGTGCTGTCTTGCTGAGGAGCACCTATACAAACTGAAACAATACTACTGGTGAACCCCTTAAGCACCTAATAACCTTTCGTAACTCTGAAAGCTTTAGAGGTTTAAAACAAAAAACACCAAATATAGAAAGTAGCATGTCTTGGTATCCATGAGACCATTTCAAAGTCTGTTCTGAGCTACATAGCCTGAAATAATACTGCTACAGATAGTAGCTACAGCTGCTACAGCGCTTGCTAAGGGCTTGGTGAAGAGTGGCTGGAAAGCTGCCTGATGGAAAAGGACCTGGGTGTGTTGGTCAATAGCCAGTTGAACATGAGTGTGCTCAGGTGGCCAAGAAGGCCAACGGCATCCTAGCCTGTATCAGAAATAGTGTAGCCAGCAGAGCCAGGGTAGTGATCATCCCCCTGTACTGGGTACTGGTGAGTTTTGGGCCCCTCACTACAAGAAAAGCATTGAGGTGTGGAGTGTGTCCAGAGAAGCACAATGAAGCTGGTGAAGGGTCTAGAGAACAAGTCTTATGAGAAGCAGCTGAGAGAACTGGGGTTGTTTAGCCTGGAGAAAAGGAGGCTCTGGTGAGACCTTATTGCTCTCTGCAATGGCTTGAAGGATGAGAGGAAATGGCCTTATGTTGTGCCAGGGGAGGTTTAGATTGAATATTGGTAAAACATTCTTCACTGAAAGGGTTGTCAAGCATTGGAACAGGCTGCCCAAGGAAGTGGTGGAGTGACTACCCATGAGGTATCTAAAAGATGTGTAGATGTGGCACTTAGCAAGGTGGTGGACTTGGCAGTGCTGGGTTAATGGCTGGATTTGATGATCTTTATGATCTTTTCCAACCTGAATGACTCTACAGTTCTATGTTTCTTTGTGTTCAGGGTCCAATCTCTGATTTGTACACAGGACATTTCCCAAGAGAAACTGCTCAAGGAGGATAATCCCAGGACAAAGTGGCCCCTATGGCTCCTATTGCAACTGCCACCTCCTACCAGCTGCTTAGCAGGATTCGGCACAGGTCTGTCTCTCATACTTAACCTTCCCCCTAATTGAAGAAGAAGGCAAAAGAGTTGAGTTCAAGGAGTCTGGATCCAACCCCTTTTTCTGGCAGCATCTGCCAGGGGCCCTTGGCCAAGTCCCTGCATCTCACTTCTTGCGCAGGACAAATAACTGCAGCAGGGATCCGCTCCACCTCGAGTCGGCAGTTCTGCTGCATGAGCATGGAGATGGATATGGTTTTGGCATTTGAACATCAATTCTGAACACCAATTCACTACAAATGTAACTCTGAAAGAGGGCAAAATTTGACACATATTGGGCTTGATGCTGATTCTCCATAATACAATAATAGGACAATAACCAATCAGTACAGTATTACAATAGATACTGTGCATGCAGAAATATCTACCCCGAAGAGCTTAAAGTCCAAACACAGGCAGTGACTGAGAAAACAAGACAAAATAATCCTTCTCTTTTCATTTTACAGATTTGGGATAGAAGCTCTAAGATCTTAAGCAATTCACAAAGCTCAACATAAAAATTACTTTTCCTAGTACAAAGGAATCTGATATCTCAAAATCCTTACCATGCTGCAGCAAAGTTTAACCAAGTTTCTTTAAGAGAGGAAAGGGATGACCCTGCCCAGAACAGCTGAGACCTCCCTCATTCAAGTGCTACCTCCAAAACAGGTTGGAATCTTTGATCATAATCAAACAAAAGAGAATTTCACCTGGGACATTCTCAGCAAAGGCCCAACCATGGAATTTGTGAGTATAAGAGCACACACGTGCTCATTCAAACCAGAAACAGCATTCTTGCTGTGATCAGTACACTGATCACAGTTTCAATACACCTAGCCTTCCTGATAAAAAACAATTTGGCAGTTTTCCAGCTGTCTTTTCCAGTAACCTACCAAACGTAAGGTAGAAAGCTGCTAAAGAGCTGGAGTCTCAGCTTGGATCTTCTAAATCTGGTACAATGCTTTAAAAATAGACCATGCTTCCTCTTTCTTTTCCCTTTTAAGTCCTGCTTTACATTCAATTTGAAAGCACTTGGAAGCATTTGAAAAGATGGGTTACCTGGACACCGCTTCATTTCCTCTACTGCTTTTTGAACATGCATGAAGTACACCTACAAATACATGCAAAGCCATGTATTTAAATACGCATCCTGAAAGATGATAATCAGATCCCAAAGAATAATTTTTCTTCCCTTATCAAAAGGAAGAAAACAATTCTAAGCAATCATTTTAAACAAAACAAAGCCAACAACAGAGAAAACAATATAAACCAATGAACCTTAATGAGAAAGAGCTAATTCTTTAGAGGGAAACATCCGAACTGGCTTTAAAACATTCTTTTGATTTATAAGTTTTTCCACATGCTACCTTTACAGTCGAAGTATTATAAGCAGTATCTGTTGAACTGCTACTTTTTGTAACAAGTATGGATTAGCTGAACCAGGTATATCAGAAAAAAGGGAAAATAAAAGGTAATATTCTGCTTTGAGCTCTGAGTGCGAGTCAGGAATGGCACACAGTGAAGCCTGTCTAGGAGCTTGTCAACTTCAGAACTGTAATGTTTATATATAGCATAATGAAGATGAAAAGGGGAATCTGAAATTCACATCTGAGACAAAAATAGTTTATGAAAGCAAAGGTTTTCAAATCAGGTCTCAATAGCTCCACAGCATCAATGCATATAAAGTGTTGCAGACTTCAAAGTGCCCTGGAAGCTTCCATCTTTCATCTGGCTTGTATACTGGCAGCTGTGATGACTGACCAGCCAGACCAGGTGATTTTCAAGAGATATTCAGATGAAATGCACAAAAAGACTTCAGGAAAGGTTGGTCACAGAATCATAGAATGGTTGGGGCTGGAAAGGACCTTAAGATCATTGAGATCCAACCCCCCTGCCATTGGCAGGGACACCTCACCCTAGACGATGTCGCCCAAGGCTCTGTCCAACATGGCCTTGAACACTGCCAGGGATTCTCCATAGAAAGCACCTTGCACCAGTGCTGCATTCAGGATGCTTGTACAGGTCAGTGACATAGGGTTGTAAC